GTCTTCAGCCAGATGCAAAAGCTTAGTAATCTATAAAATGTCTTTTTAAATGTCATGTGCTTGAACTGTATTCATTTGTTCATTTCCAATGTCAACAACTCCACTTTTCAAAGGTAATTTGACTTTGTCGCAGTCTTCTAAATGCCTTGACATTTAAGAAGCGAATCTTTTATTCAAACTCTTGAAGCAGTCAAATCCTGCGGATTGTTTAGTTTCCAGCTGTAGTCGGGGGAACCGGCTGAAGCCTTGTGGTCACCAGAAGGACACTGGGAAAATGCCTTCACCACCTGACTAAATACAGCAGCGCAGTAACGTGCACTTTGGGATGACCTCTGGTCCCATGAAGGGACTCGACCAAGACGCCCACAGGCTATATTTGTAGGTTAAATGCGGAAAGGAAGAGTCAATTAAACCAAGCTAAGAAATGATCACGGTCCAGAACGGAGCTATTTGTTTGGGCCACGCCGAAACACCGAAAGCTTCCAACCTCTGTTGTGGTTGAAACGTCTATTAAAGCACAAGTTAAACCAGCTTAGGAGGGAAACGTTCAATTATTTGAAGCGCTGTGCCATTAAGCTAATAAATGTACCATTTTTTACTACCTGCTACTCGGGGTGGAGATGTGGCTTTATGACTACAGAGCGAACAGGATTCATTTCAATTGGGCTCATTGTTATGTCATGCACCTCACCAGGGATGAACTCTCACAACACTCCTCCTTTTACTACCAGTAAATGGATAGCTTCTGCCTGGGGTGATAATGTGAGAAGTTCTTTGAAATATTCAACAAGGTATTGCGTGCCCCGTTGAGCTAATTCTTCAGCCAGATAGGCCTGCGTTGGATAGACAGGATTGTTTTAGCGATGAGCTTGTGGGAGGACTCCAGCAGCAAGGCTGCCTGTGGAGCCACTGACAGCAGGGGAGAGCCGTCCCTCCCTCACAGGCACCCACATCCACGTCTCTCAGACTCAGCATGTCAGCCCAATGGAGAGGTGTTTTACTGGACAAAATTCTATTGTGCTCCTAATCTCTAAAAGCGCTGACATGCTTTGTGTTCTGTATTATCTTTAGTGGTCTGGGATCCAACCAAAGCATGAAATCTGGGACTCTCTCTCTCTCTATCGACATATCCAGTTAGATGAGCCACCAGCCAGTAGCGGCGCATGTTAAGGCTTATCCACACATGCCAAAGTAATGCTGGATGCCCTACGTGCATGATTTATGGCGGTTTTCCATTTGTCTGATTTGTCTTTTTGCTACACATTTGAATAGAGGCCATTCCTAACGCACAATGTAACAGCTCAATGTACTTTTATGCTATTTCAGGGATTGCTATTCTTAGTATTAGATTGATATAACTATGCTCTGGAAAATCCCATCCCATGAAAATCCACATGGCATTTGGAGAAAGGAGGGAAGGGGAAAATACTACCTCTTTTTCAGACCAAACCATGGAGCAGAATGGAAATAAATGATGGCAGATTTGACAAATTGAGTATGCCAATGTGCATTTGGCTGATCAATACTTTAACGCGTGGATATTACTTTTCACTGCATTCTCATCCAATAAATGTTCAACAAAAGAGTAGAAGATCACTTTGGAGGCAAAGAAAAAGATAAATGCATGCTTTCTGAACATCACTCACACTTTTAAACACATCATCATTAAGCAAACAACCCCCTGACTGTGTTTTCACTTGAGTAAAAACATACTGTCATGAGTACTGAGAAGAACCTCTGTTTGTGTTCGCAGGTTGAGAAAGTCTCATGAATACACTAATGACATACAAGATCCATTCAGGGCCTGATACAGCTCTAACAAAGTCCAGTAATATCTTTTACTGAGTTGAGCACATGACCCAAAGAGCAGTGGCTGTTTTTTTGTTACTGGCTGGAAAAAGAGGCTAATTCTTTAGAACTTCAACTAAATACATGCAAGTGCAGATACAAAGGAAAGTAAGCATTTTGTTTCCAGGCACATAAGCTCTGGGCTGAGACTGAAAAGATGCCCCCCTTTTAAAAAAAAATTGGAAGGGAATTGGAGAGGGCTTACTTTTTGATCATGGAAGAAAAAAAAGCTATTCTGACGCGCAACGTGGGGGTAAGGGATTACGCCTTGATGTCAGGCCAGAAATAGGGGGTGAAAAAGCACAAGGAGTAGAGGCCCGCCAAAGAGCACAAAACTATTCAGCTGTTGTCAGTATCTATTAAAAAGAACTCACCATGAAGTCTGGGTCAAACAATCACTCCTGGTGTGGCTTTGCTTTTTGTCTACTGCCACATAAGCTTATTCTTTACACAAGTATCTTTTTAAAAAACACATATTTACCCATATTATGATTTCTTGCTAAGTTTTCTAAACACATATCACATGTATATATATACAAAGACGTAAACACAAGGGAGTACGACAAGTTAAACAACATCAAGCTCTCTGCATATTTGACTCCTCCCTTCATGCCAAACAGTGTCTTGCTACTTAAGAGTACAAACTAAAATCAGCCAGAAAACAAAAGAGAAGACTTGGACCCTTCTAGCCCAAATCCCTGCTGTTGTTTCATTTCCAAAGAAAACCAGCCTCAATGGCTGTCAGCTGTGTGGCCGCGCGAGTGTGGAGCAGTAATGTGAATCACGAGGGGAGAGACTCACTCAATATGTGTGTGTACTTGTGAATATTGTCTGTTACTGTGGAGTGAACTTGAGAGTTTGCATGTTACACGATCGCTGGCTTTTCATTGGCTGGAATGACATTAAACGGTACTGATGCAGATAACCGCATCACTCCTGGCAACAGCAGACACCTGAAGCACTGCATCTTTTAGTGAGATCACTTATGCTTTTATTGTTTTTGCCCCATTATATGCAACAACTCTAACCTAAATCAGATTAAACACACAACATTTTGTGAAAAAGATTGTCTTTCTCTGACACTTATCGCTTGGAAAAACAATGAAAATCATATATTTTTTCTTTTAAATCTTTGTAAACTGAATTTGTATACAGGCGGCATGATAAAAAAAAAACATGCTTTCTTACCAAATTCAACTATTAATTTGGTGTTGGGAATTCACGACCATGGATGGCTGTTGCCTTTAACCAAGGGTAAAATGAGTAGATGTAGATCATGTGACTAAAAGAACACTGAAAGAGCCACAAAATATGGGAAAAACTATATGGGCACAGTAATTGTAAAACAAAAATATGGCATGACATTTCTGTCAGTTTCCAACCGTTTTATGCAAAGTAAATGACTATCAGTTATGCAAAATTATTGGAGCAAGCTAAAATATCTCCAGCAAGTTATTATTCGTTAACTGTCAGGATATTTTAGCTAAATGAATGTGCACTCTGGTCAGTTAATCAATGTTCCTCAGCCTTTCTCATTTCAGTAACTTTGCTGTTAGCAAGACTTCGACATGACACAGGGGATTTAAGCACTAAATACCCCACTCCCTGAGGGACTGAGTATCTAGAACGGCCTTCCCTAACATAGCTTTCAGGCACAATATTTGCAAGTTAATAAATGAAGTGTATGACACTTAGTACACACGTTCAGAATAAAACCCATAATACTGTCTAATGACTATAAAAAAATCCACTTGGTATTTGTTTTGGAAAAAAGCACAGCCTGTACAGTAACTACACAACATTGCCACATGCATCTATTTCAGATGACAAGTTTAATGGATGGATAGTATCCCAGGTTCTTATCCGTTATTTTCAATAGGACAGTGCACATTTTTAAAGATGCCATCTCAATGGGCTTCCTTCAGCTTGTGTTTAATGGTAATTGAGCTAAGATTCTGATATGCATCTGTTTACATGATTGGATGTGGTTAGAAACAACAAGAAAAAGGCCCTTGTTTTGGTCAAAATACCTTATTTATTTATGTTATCTGGCATCTCTAACTGTCAGTGAGTATATTTGCAAAACACATCTAACCAGTATTTTAGCTTTTAAACCATAAAATGTATGAGTCAAAAGGAAATGCAATGGCTTTGAATCATGTACCTGTGTATTAAAAGTTTTATAATCAAAAGTGACAGCAAATGAACAGAAAATACAACAAATTCCATCATTGCACTTATTTGCATGACAATTCATCGACAGCACAACAAATATTTTCTTTAAAAACCGTTTCAAACAAAAAGGTGGGGCATCATACTTATCTGGTGAGTCATTTTTTACCTAAAAGTTTTTTTTCCCCACATGCATAGTGCTAAGTAATGGAACCGTGGAGCCGCGGGTTGCCGTCAAAAGAAACGCTCCTGGTATAAATGCAGATAGGGTCATTAAAAATGGCGAGGTTTGAACGTAGGGAAGGAACGTGTGAGTGTAAGGTAAGCCAATCTTGTGGGGGAAGAGTTGGGATCTCCGCCCCTTTAGCGAGCTCGCATTCCAGAGATTCCCACAACCTAAGCTCACCTGCCTGGTCGCTCACCTACGAAAAGCACGTTTTCAAGGGCATTGTCACAGAGACAACTAACGCCGGAGCAGTTTGTGAGGCTCCCTGCCTACCGGCTAAGTTTTTTTTTACAAGCAACGGTCAGGCAGCACATCAAAAACAGCGTGTGAGTGAGTGTGTCTCAAAGGTGTGCGTTGTCCGCGATGAATCGGTCACAAGAAGAAGATTAGCGTAGAATTAGATTCTTTCCTGCTGGGAAGCAGCCTAAAGGATATCTTCCCAAGTCACACACGCACAGAAAAGCCGCCACTTTCTCTTCGGTGTGAATTCAAGACTTTCTGAGTTGAAGCAGCAGTCCTTAGCCCCCCCCCCCCCCCCCCCCCCCCCCCCCCCCCCCCCCCTGCCTTTGCACACAGATGCACTCCCTTTTTTCCCAGATTTTCCCCGAATTATTCTGCACTCCGTAAAGCGACGAAAGAAAGAAAAAAACTCCCATACCTTTGGAGGACTGTTGTTGCGCTGGTTCAGCTGCGGCTCGGCTCTACGTGGGAACATGTAACTTCATCTGTAAAGTCCAGTCGCCTACTCCCACACATGTGGAGGAACGAAACTCGTGCCCATAGTCGAGGAAAGAAGACGACCCCTCCGCTGATTCCAGCAGCAGTCCCAGGCAAAGCGAGCGTGCATGACGTCAGTGGGAATGTGGGAAAGCGAAGAGTACTCCTGATTGGTTGCCGTAGGGAAACGGGGCGTTCCCAAGGAGGTGCGTGTGGTTGAATTAACCAGTGACAGAAGAGATGATAGTTACCGTGGCTACCAGTTTTGCCAAACTATACACTGCTTGGAGAGGATAACAGACGGTAAGCTAGGTGGCTCGTTAGGTAAATTAACATTGTGTACGTGTAGCGAATGGATAATAATAGTTGAATTTGATTTAGTCTTGCATACAACCTCATAAATTGACGCAGAAAGAAGCAATTGTCTCACGTGTGAAGTGAGAGTTCCTGCTTATTGCTCCTCGTGTTATCGACCATTTAAACGAGCTTTTAAAATAATCTAAATCGGGACATTGTTTTTAAAAAGCAACAACTTAATAATGCTCATAACTTTAGGGTTTAATGCCACCATTGTGTCAAAGTTAGTGGCAATGTATTGCTTGCAGAGTTCCATCCTTCTTGTTACATTTAAAATTCTCCTCAAATGCAAATACATAGGCAATTGTCTATATTCAATGCATAGACTGACATGTTATTGTTATTCATTTGAAAAAACCCTACATTTTCATGCTGTTCACTCCAGCCCTTCAGACACAATACTTTCAAGTATTTGTAATAGCTCAATTGAGGAATGTTATGTGACAGTATTTCACATGAATTTAAAAGAAAGATGGCAAAATTCCATCAGCATATCTCCACTCTAAAGAGTGCGATCTTTCTTAATAAAAGCTGACTTATCCTTTTCTGGCTCCTGTCCCTTTAGAGCCATGCACACAAAGGTGCAAAGGTACATGTATTTTTCCAATTTTTAATTACGATTCACTCCCTGTATTCTAAAGGTTCAGGGCGACATTCCATTGAAACAATACTCTGTACAGTGATGAGTGGAAGTGATCCACAAAGAATCCTCACAAACTACAAAGCAGTACATAAAGGTAAGCTATAGAAAACCGGGTCTGACGTATTGCTGACTAGTGTAATAATGGCCCACTGAACTGTTGAACAGATTTGACCTAAAGCCCTCATGTTAAATTCTCCTGGTGCTGTCATGTCTTTGATGTTTTTGTCAGAAGAAACATTGTGTTTGTTCACCTGCCTTCAGGCCACAGCTAAAATACTCAGGAAGAAAGCATGTCTGATGTCATTAGCTTGCCCTTTAATACTCCATTTTCCTTTGTTTGAATTTTTAAATTGAACACAGATCCCATTATTGCTAAACTGATGCTATTCCTCTGTCTCCACCACTTGCATTTTTTGTTTTTTGCTGAAGTCAGCAAAAAAAAAAGATTTTATTTCCAACAATAAAAGTGATGACATTGTCAAGAATTCCGATGATCCTAATTCAGCTATATCATTTGCTCTCATCCATGCAGAAAAACTGACTCCACAAATGAAAAATGGTGTTGGCAGCTCAAGGTGCAAACCAGTTGAATATAAACGACTACAAGCCATTATTGAAGCAAAACGCCTGCAGTCTGATCTAATAGAACAACAGGTAAGATGTTGATTGTGGGAATCATACATGCTCTAAAAATATCAACGTTAGTGTAAAATCAATTTGTGTTACATTTAATAACTTGGTGATTCAGCTGCAAATAAAGAGGAATGTGCATCAACAGTACTCATTAACGTCCACAGGGACAGTCTGAACTGATGAAAGTTTGATGTGAGCTAATAAACCAGCATGTCTCTATTATAAGGAAAACAGAGCAATTTGTCCTTCTCTTTCCCTCTTTTTAACACAACCTAACACTAAGTAAAGAAATGTAATCCCATGCGAAAAGGAGATTGTATATTATCTAGAGTTTTTTTCCAGCAACATGAAAGGACCAGAATTGTAATTACCAGACAGGAAAACAATTTGGTAAATATCAATTTAGCTGCTTGTGTGTGTGAGTGTGTATGGGAGTTTTTTTTTATAACTCTGTTTGAGGTTCTGATTCTTTCGACTCTGAGTGGAGAACAGTTATGGCTATTAAGCTGTTAAAACTATGTTGTTTTAATTGGTGAACTGCAAAAGAAGCCTTTTAACATCACTGCAGTGCCCATGGCCCTCTCCAACCTCATTCTCTGTATAACCTAGATAAGAGGCTATGTGTTCACGCTGCGTCGACCTGCTTAGAGGCCAGCTTTTTGATCAGCTCTTTAGTGATGTAAATAACGTAAATAAATTACCCCGGAAAGCCTGAAATATGGGATATTTTTTGTTTTACAGAATGGGCCTATATTTAAATGAGCATTTAGATATACTAAACCCTTGGCTGTACCATTCTGCACTGGACTGTCAAGGATTTTGCATGGTATAACGTATTACACTTTCTATTCTCTGTATTCACATTATATATGAGGTCTTTTTCATCTTACATATAGAAGCATGCATCAGTAATATCACTGTTTAGCATTTCTATGTAGGTAATTAGTGTTGTAGTGTTGTTCGCTGCCCTGTGTGTTGTCACACATGTCAGTGCACTTTGAATTTATTGACACTCTCATGCTAGCTAATGCCAGAACCATTAAATATGTGAGAGACAAGACCGCGTTTTCAGATGACTGCAGCTTTCCAGATTGTCCTTGAGTAGAATTATGGTATTATTCGGCTTAAAAGACTTCAGATAAAGAAAGCAACAACACCAAGTTAAAACAAGTCCAACTTGAGAGGGAGAGCCCCACAAGCTCCTTAACAGCTCTGAGTAAGTTTATGTTTTCATTTAATTTTAGGAGGTGGTCCAAAATCCAGGCAATCTGAATGTTGCACAGACACTTAATAATAATATGGGACAGAAGATGACATTATGTATGTTTATCTTTGAGAACAAAAAAGGTTGTTTTTCTCTTGCTGTATACTGTTGAAACACCCTCTGCTGCTTGAACATGGGGTGAATTGAATTCACACTGCCCATATATTCTAAAGGCCCTGCTTCTAAATGACCCAGTTTCCTTTGATTGGTTAACTTATTGATCCGAGGAAGCAACACATTTTTTGTTCAAAGCGTTCAGGCAAAAAAATAATTGACACCTTGACCAATATGCTGGTGCACTTTTGAAATTCATCCACCCATTTTCTATGCATATCCCAGGTCAGACATTTTGACTGAACAGCTAAATGAGTATCAGACAAATGTGAATCAATTGTCTTCTGTGTTTAAGTCATATAGACTCTTAAAGAACATCTATGGCGCAATGAGCTTAATTCTACATTTTTTCATCATTACTAATTTATCTAAACTCTTAGTAGCCAAAGTCAGGGTGGATAAAACAACATGTAGGGAGTGATACGTAAGTAGCGTTCAGCTAACATCATTATAGATTAACCACATGCGTTTTATGGTATAAGGTCATCTGTACTAAAGCTGGTTCATTACATACCTAGGGCTAATAAAGATCACTCATACTCTGCCAGGGAGATGCACAGAATAACATGATCCATAACCTTTTCTTTCTGGACTGAATTCAGATTGAATGCTGTGGAGTCCAGTTTCCACATTACATTCACATCACTCTGAAGATAAATGACAAATGATAACAAAACTAATTAAAATTTCTTTTGCCAAAAACAAGAGGCCACTAATGACAGAGCACATCAAATGAACCCCATAAGCCCTCGATATTAGCTGCTGATTTGATTTAGAATGTAGAAATTACTTGATGTGAGATATTCTTTTATGCAATTATAGGAGCCACTGGCCTGTGGATAAAAAAAAAAACGGATATAAAACAATGAACCTCTACATTCTGAAGGAGGGCTGTGATGAAAAATCCAAACAAATGACAGAAGATTAGGACTGTTACATCCCCGCTTCCTTTCTTAATTGCGTACCTAATGCCACGCATGTGTGTTCTAGATTATTTTAATTTCCTACTGTTTATTTTGCTGCTTCAGTTGAATTACCTTGGTATGTGAGCTTCACACAAATATAATTATGCTAATCAAGACTAGAGCAAAGGAAATCACATTGCAAATATGCAGAGGAGTAAAGAAAAAAAACTCTTATTTCATGTATCTTGCAATGTTATCATTAAAAAGAAATCCCCTCTGGGATTAATTACCGGCAATGAGATCTGTCTCAGAATCTTAAGGAATACAATTTAGAGTTGTGCCTTTTTTTTCTTGCTCTTTTCCTCTTTAAATAAAATGCTACAGATTGCAGTTGATGCATCAAAGTACTCAGGACAAAGGTTTGCCACTTTTTCTCTGGTAGATTCTATTGATCCAAGTAAAACTGTTTATTCCTGCTGTGCTCTAAACCTTGTGTTATAGGTTCAGAAGACTCGCTCTGCAGCCAAGGCAACCAAAGAGAGCTCCTTATTACGGCAGCACAGACAGGTGTGGAGCAGAGAGTGCTCCAGGCTGCAAAAGGCTGAGTAAGAGCCCACTATTACTGCCTTTCATTATCTGCTGCAGGTCTCAGAATCAACCTCTGCTCAATGCAGTTGTTCCACTTAAGCCCTCATTGTACCCATATGGGAACTCTTCATGAAAAATTTGGGTGTTGAAAGGGTGAAAGAAAGTAGGCCCAAGGGGGAAAGTTTGCAGGGGGAGAAAGGGAAGATGAGGGATTTGGCCTGACTTTTAAATGGGCATGACACTTACAAGTGAAAGCCAGCTGAGAGAAGTTAGAGGTTTTACTTATGAGATGATGGTTTGGTGAGGTAGGGCATTGTGGGATTCCAGCCCAGCAGTGTCATGCCTTGTGAAGTGAGAAGGGCAGCACTGGCTCTGGGGCGCAGCTTGTTTGGCTGTATAATGACTGTCTGAGCCACACAAGGTTAATGATGTACAGAAGCGTAAGCTTAGTAATGAGTCTGGTTGTAAATGTGTGCCCCTGCTTGCCACTCTCCACACATATAACTTGTTAAATTGCCAGGGGATTAGAAAAAAAAACATTGTCACATGGGAAACGGACAAGTATATCTCTATGGTTACGATCCATTTTTCCCAATTACGGCATCCACTGAGCCAGTTAATAAAAAGTAAACAATGACGAGTAGGTTCCTCTACAGGCCCTTTTATTGTGATGCTGCTCACAGGAAAATGATTTCCGGCCCCCTTCAGCTTGTGTCAACATTTTAGGAAATGTTCAGAGGTAGAATCTATAACAATGTGCATGATAGATGATGGGAAATCCCCCTCTCCTTTCCTCTTCCCAAAAAGCACTCAAAGCATTCAGTACACGTGGTAGTAAAAAGCAGCACAGAATGTTTATTTAATCACTTTGAGTGTTTGAATGTGGTTCTTCTCTATACTTTCACACTTTGAAGGTAAATATTTGACTGTATATGCAATTGCATGAAAATTTCTTTAAAAAAATGTGAGAATATGTCTGAAAATGTAAAAAAATGTGTCATCAGTAAATTTCCATGTGATAATATTTATGCTCTAGGGCTGTGTTAGAAAGTAGAAATGAGTTCCACCTTTACCTGTTGCCACATCCTCATGGTGCTCGCTTCATTGCCCTGATTTGTTGCTCAAAAATTTCACAGTAAAGATTTTTATGCGTCTCGCAAATATTAAATGTTTAATAAAGTAATATTTGAAAACTTTTTTGGTGATTTAATGAGGATGAAGTCAGTTTGATAGCTTGCTTTATTTTATTGGGAAATTGCATGGGAGAAGTTACATTCCTTGTAGCCAGTATTGGCAGTCCACTTTGGTAATGTCAGTTATCTACAGTATATTTGTTTTTTCAAGTAAATACTTGAAATAAGCTTATATTATTGCCTTAAGGTCTTTATAAAATGGTTCTCTTTGTGTCTTCTGTAACAGAGAGCAGATTCAGGAGGACTTCCATCATTTTCTGGAGCAAATCAGGCCAAACAGTCTAACAGATACTGCCATCTTCTCACTTCAGGAATATGGTAAACTGCGAGTGTTGGAAGTACTGTAACCGTGTCTCACCTTCAGTCTCTTTTTAAGTGGGATACTAATGTTTTGTGGGGGTTTAGAACTGTCTCTTGAGAGAGAACGAGAAATGTTCAGGATTGCCACTGTGGAGCCTCTTCATCAACTAAGAGATGACCTGTGCTTCAGACTGCATGAAGTGCAGCATCGACAGCTCAAGGAAAATCCATCAAACTGCGAACAAATTATACCACAGGTATCTGGGTAATACGAGATAAAGGTGTGACTGAATGTCTATACTTGTAAACATGGGAAAACATATCTTTGCCAGCCAGAGGTATCCAACTCAGAAACCGTTTTTACAGTATCGGTAGTGAATACATATTTATTGCATTTTACACCTCACTGAAGATAAATAAAATACTTTAAAATAACATTTCTAAATGACATTTTCTCATGTCTTGTTTTTTTTAAAAGAACATTTGACAGCATTTTATTTTCTTGTCACTTCACTCAAATTCTTCAGATCTATTATTTGTAGGGGTTTTTTATTCTTCAGGTACAAAATATTTAATCCTTTGCAGTGGATGGAAGCTTGAACGGTCCTTTTTCACAGAGGAAATTTTGCTTATGCACAACATTGATAATTATTCATCAAGCGTTTGTTTGTGAGCTATAACGCTCTTAAGTCATTCGCACTGCCTTTGACTCTCAGACCCTTTTTTGAGTCTCTACAGATGAATGGTGAAATTAGGGACTTAGCCTCATCCTTTAAAGACACATCAGACTTGGAATTAACCTTCTGCCAGACACTTTGTCAGCTCTGTGGAACTCACTAAAGCTTGTTTCTTTCCCATGACCCCCTCCTCTTCAGCTGGCCCATGGTCCCACCTGACACATCGATCAGCCTCTATGCTCATATTAGTGTCCCTCACATCTTTTCTCTTTTTTCATATTCCACTGCTTTTCAAAGAGGAGGTTGCTATGTAATTATGTTTCCATTTCTAAACGGCTCAAATGAAAAAAAAGTCTACAATGCTAAAATTTACTAAAATTGAGTGCCACTTCTCAATAGAAACAGTAATTGAAACTTTTTAAGTGTTCCCGGCTATTGTGTGTGGTATTAATAATTACTGTAAAGTTGAGACTGGTAGAAATATATTGCTTAGTTCATTATCATAGTCATTTTTACTTATAGATGGCCATACCCATTGTTGCTTTCGGGTGTAACAGGTGCATAGGGACCCAGCAGGTGTGATAATACCTTTTGAAATCTGTTATAAAAGATGGATCCCATAACATAAGAGCTGTAACCATAGGAGAAATATGACTTTATTTAAGACATTTTCTGGATTTTACCACCAGATCAACTCTGTGAAAGACCAGCAACATGATGTAATTGCAAAACTTCATGCCGAGTACCTTGACGTAGAAGAGCATCTCACCAGCCTTGGCTTGGAGGTACTTTTTAAAAAAAAAATTTGATGTCACAGCTTACTTTGAAAGAGTTCTAAGTGTACTCTTTAAAAGAGTGCTAATACAACTTTTTCCCTGTTAGTAGACTTCAGAGATCAAATAAATGTACTTTGCTGATATACCAAAACTTGAACATACAGCTGAAGATCTTAAAAAGAGTTGAACTGACTACCTTAGAAGGTTATGTTTTTATTGGCAGAAATATCTTACTAGTACTTCAGATACATCGGTGAATGGAGAACATATCCCAAAAGAGGTTTTAGATGCGGACTGCCCTTACCCAGACCTGAAGGACTCCCTTATTGAGGCCTTCCAAGCCCTGTCAGAGAGGTACCAGAGCAGACTGCAGAGTCTGCAGGAGCAGCAGCAAAACACTGACAGGTATACCTGAACTCCGGCTTGCATTATTAAAGGTGTTTGGAGAATCATCAGGGGAAAGTTATTTAGCTTATGTTCCCAATCAATATGAAGGAAGTGAATAAAACAATCTTATGATGACTTTTCATTGCCCATTTCATGAGGACAAGTAGATGCAGAACTCTGCTTTTATCCAACAGAACAACATGAAATATCTGTATTCGCGCTGCAGGCTCTTTCTCAAGCATGCTGCTGAACAACTTAAACAAGTCTTTTTCACTTTGAGGCTGATTACAAAAAGCTACTTCATAATTTTATGTTCCACATACCGGTATATGTCTTTACAAGGTTGACTCAGCTTTGCAATTTAACTGTGTAATGGCATTTCAGAGGGAAAAGCAGCAAAATGAAGAGAAGGAAATCTAATGCCAAATTATGACTTTATGCTTCTCTCTCTGATCACATATTTTCCTGTTGATTTCGCTTCAGGTTCTGTGGCTGGTTTCCAGAAGACCACAAACTCTTCGAACTCACTTTGTCTATGTATACTCAGGAGGTACCCAACCGCAGAGTACTTTGCATGGACATGCTATTGAAACTCTTCCCTGAGCGCACAAGACTAGAACTGGTCAGTGCATTTGCAAAAGAAAAGGTTTATTTTTTTCATGGTAGTTGCATTTTTTTTGTTGCATTTGTCAAACAGCAGTGATACATTCAGTGGTTTAGAAAAGGCAAACAAACACTTGGCTAAATTTTGTCAGAGGACATTGAACACTGTCCAGTCATCCTTTGAAGGGAAACACAGCTTGATCTGCAGACACATTTATAAAGTCTTGCTTTCCTCAAGTGCAAAATGAATGCGGTGTTAACTTATCTACTTGTGGATCTTAGCCAGTACCATAAGTCAGCCCGTTGCATAGCTGTTCTGTGCTCTTACATGAACTCTACACAAACCCATATGACAAAAAAAGAAAAAAGACCCCCCCCCTCCCCGTCGGAGGCAGCCCTGCGGTGTGAGTACCCAGCGTCCTGATCAATGAAGCTCAGCACCCTGAGCCGAGCAGACAGATAAGCCTGGACAATGATCTGTTCATCACGCTGCAGGATGTGCCGTGTCACCCGCTGTGGACAATTGGCTCTCGCCACCGCCTAGCATTGCCATGACAACCGCCAGGCCCTCTCTCCTCCCTCACCCGCACCCAGAGACCTGTCGTCATATCAGTTCCAGCTGGGTGCTGCATTTAGAGGCATGATCGTTCAGCCTCTGGGGCGTTGTGGGGAGGAGAGATGTCTTTCTCCACACTTATTTCCCTCTCAGAAACAGATTCAGAGCCAACAAAGTTCTGTTTACATCCATTAGTCATAATTTAACTGGCTGGCTAATCAGACTGAGCTATAAATTGGTTAGTTGGTACCCCTCTGATTAAGTGCAGCAATGCTGATATTAGTGTTTGGGGGAGAAAGTAGAGTCTTGATTGATGCAGGCTTTTTAGGGATTTTTATAATCTGCTGTTTAAAATTAATGAGTTGAACAAGTATGACATGATTAGTATTTGGAGAGCTTGAAGGATAGTCCTTAAGTTCAACTGAGCTGTATTTTAGCAAATTTCTGCATTTATCAGAAATAAAATTGTTGATAAAAGGAAGAAGTGTGACTATTGCAGATATTTCACTGATCACTGATCAGTTTAATACTATTTCTGTGAAGTAAATGTCTGTGCAACATTCTTTTAGATGTTGTTTTACTTTTCATTTCACAGTACTGAATGATGTCTCTGCTTGAGATTAGATATATCCGTCCCTGCCATTAAGTTCCATGTGCGTGGAATCATTCCAGGATGACTGAGCTAGTTTCCTTTGCTTTTAGTTACACCAGTTTTGCAAAGGCTTTTTGCTGCATAATAAGTGAAGAAAGACAAGAGTCTTGATGACTAATTAGCTTCCAAGTTCAGCTCGATTGGTTGCAGTTTTTCTTATTCACTCTCTGTGATTACAGCAAGTATTTAAATGAAATGTTAAGTATAGGCAGACTGTTTGCAATGATTATAACTTTCTTTGATCTCTTTGATATTCAAAATTTCTTGTGGCGGTTTGTCCGACCACAGCTGCGATCCAGCCGGAAATCACTGTTCCGCCAAAGTGGCATTATTTGTATTCTTTAGTCGATTTCCCGACCTAGGGCTGAACTATTCCCTTCCTTTTTTTTCTGTCAGGTGATGGCTTTTAAGTTCTCTCTGAGTGGAGAACTCCCTCTGCTGGATGGGGTAATTTACTGTCTAGGCTCTCATAACAAGCATAAACATGATTTTAAAGTGATACCTGTATGAAATTCCATGGCCATGCGAGGAATTATTCATACATCTCACTATTTTTGTACTCTGTTTTTCCTTCGTCATTATCTCCTTTTTGTACGACGGAGTCTTCACAAAAGCAGTATCTACCAAGGGAATGTGGAGCAGCTAGGTTTTGTCACACGTTAGTCGTGTTTCACGGACACAGTGTCAGTGTCCACACATTTACTGAGTGTAACAACTAAAGGACATGCATGAGCACAAACAGGCATTGCACGGTGTGTGCAGACACACAAGCAGGCACGCAGACATGTACTATGTTCATGCTTGCTTGCTTTCAAGACACACAAGAAAGGCAAGGGTGGTGAAGGGGAGGGCAAAACAAAGTGAAGAATACAGGGTGGATCTTCTTCAACTTCCAAAGTTGTGCATTAATAAACAAGATTTGCTTGACTGATCTTCTCTCCACTGTTCCGTTGGCAGGTCTGTCAGCTTATTCATTTTCAATAAAACCAGTCAGCCATCTAATGCCTTCACTCTGTCAGTTAGCCGCTATTAGCCCATAGATGAATATCATTCCCTCTGTTCCAATGAGGCAGCCAAGTGGTGCAGCCTCTGAGAGCACTGACACAATGATGAATAGCTATGGGCAGCCTTCACACAGGAAGGGACTGCTTTTCTTCAGGATATTTCACAGCCAGGAGAAAGGGACCATTTTATATATCAGCAACGTTAGACCTGGCACAGTGGTGTCCCCACGGTTCTGTTTCCATGAATACAGATAGTGTATCACGCAGGTGTTTGTGAACATCAGGTTGCACATCATAAATCTGGTGCATAATACAGCAGGGTTGCCATTTGAGCTTCCATATAACCTTTTTTACACTGTTCTTCAGGTTTGTTCCCCAGTTTTTACTCTCAGTGAAGATTTTGATTCCCTGCTCATGAGTGTTAAACTGTACAAGCCAACACACTTGGTATGGTCTTTATAGGCCTATTCAGGTGAGCAATGCCTTGTCCATTGTCTCTCTTCTAGATGGAGCATGAGCGCCTGTGGGACTTACAGCGCTTCGCCCAGTTGCAGCACAAAGCAGTGACCCAGCAGTGGCACCGAGACATGGACGAGCTATTGGCCAGAGCACTGGTCACCCTGCAGGAGGCAAATCATGCCCACCAGGAGGAGCTGAAACTCCACAGAGACCGTCAACACCAACAGGACATCTGTTATCACCTCAGAGAGAAAGTTAGTGATTTTTGTCAATTCAAATCCAGCGTTACTACGGAGGAGAGATTCTTTGTGATGAGATGTCATTGATTTTAAGGCAAATTACCATCTATTAGAATCAACAGAGGTTTGCCAGTTACCACTGTACAGTGTGCGTGACATATGCTTGTGCAGGTTTAGATGTGACTGTGCTAAGTGTGACACACAGCACTGTCATGCTGCCTGTTCATGTACAGCTGATGAGGCCGTATATTACAGCAAACTGCCTGACAGCATCTCCTGCTTTACCCGCCCCTTGGGGCTGGGTTGTGAATGCAAGCAAGCTAATAAGATTGGTCTTGTGAACGGGATGTTGCTGTCTCTGAGGGGTGCCTCTTCACACTGACACAACAAATCCATGTGCTGTTGATGTAGTCCTGCACAAAATGAATTTGCCTTGCCTGTGTGGGGTTTTTCAAAATGGTGCTTGTGTCCTTTGGCTATTCTGACAAGTGACATTACTGATGTGAGCCAACACACCTGTTCTCCTTCAGTCAAGTATCAACGCAGTTATTATTTTTGTACTGCTTAAGTGTTGTGACAAAATTATATGTTTCTTTCTGTGAGACCACCTGAATGTACGCTCATTCTTACGATTAATTCATCATTCTTCCACCCTCTGTTATTTTAGTCTGAATGAGTCTATTAAAAAGACAGAGTGTTTAAAGAAGGAAGATATGGCAAATAGCATTTAGTGGTAGATATTTGCTCAGTTTTCAAACTGTAGCTAAGAGCAAACAATGAATGAGCAGTGAAATATTTTTACACCTTACTAAAAACAGGGCCTGATCTGGAGGATAGTTGCTTTTAAAATAGACAGACTACTGATTACTTTTATTTTGTTTGGTCGCAAAGTAAGTAAGAGTAAGTCTCAGTCACCACTTTGTGTACAATGGTAGACAGCGTGTAGACCTTTTTGTGAGGTGGCGGCTGAATGGTGTTTTTGTGTGATCTACACAATCCTTATGCGATCTGATCTCTACAATGAGAAAACAGAAACCAGCATCTTATTCACAAACGTAACAGACTTTGACAGCCTGAAACAACATAATACGATGCCACATTTTGGTCTCGCACTTTTCAAAATGTTGCCGTCTTCTCAATAGCCACAAACCAGTTCTGTACTAATCTGTTTGAAATATAAACACGAAAAAAGTATTTTGCCTTTGATCATATAAAGCACCACCTTGTCATAGTTTAATCTTCACTACCTGAAAGTCAGATGCTTCCAAAGTTTCCAGCAAACTTTCAACAACTTAAAATTTAGTTATCCCTGACCAATAATAGCCTATTGTAAAACAGTGTAGTAAAGTGTATTGAAAAGCACTTGTAGATTTGGTTGTGCAGCATAATATTATGTTCAAGTGGAAGGTTAAACTCTATCGTATGCTGCACATCTCATTTGAATTGAGTTCAAGTTAAGGGCAATGATCTCAACATTCAGTTCTGAATTTTTAAATTGTAGAGGGATAGAAAAGATCAACGGTTTTACAAAGATTAAATATGTAATTCAAAACAGCCAAGACTGTCTGCTAGCACTTATTTGATATCTTCCTGACAACAAAAGCTTCTGACTTAATGTAATTTCAGGTAAACCTCCAGTCTCCATATATCAATTTTATGTGGCATTTTTTAACAGATTTTTCAATTTTGTTTCGGTGCTCTCCTAGATAATGAAAATAAAATCTAAATGTATTTCTCAGGCCATGATTTTTCCTCATTGTCCTTGCTCATGCAATTCATTTGCACACATTTGAGCTCGTGTGAAGGCGCAGATGAATCCCCTCTGCTGTTATCATTGCAGCACAGTGACAGAGCAGCGAGACAAAATTGATTCTCCATCCGCTTCATCTGCTTCTTTAACACTTTTGTCTCTGCAGCTGCTCCAGCTAATCCTAGAAATACCCCTGCCTCTACTCTGAATCAATACTATTATAGAAGAAAGTGTGTATTACAGTCTCTGGCAGCTATTGTATTTCTATTCTATGTGTATCCAGTGAAGTAGTAGTAGTTTACTGTTTTGAAATATGAAGTAAATAAATAGCTCCTGTGATTGGTACTTGTTACTATCTCTGTCCAGCATTGCTCAGATCACCTCCTGCATCACATCTCTGCTGGTTGAGGTGAGGTCATTTAGAAGATTGGTTCTGACCTCATTTAGCAAAGCTGTGGGGAGCTATCTATGAAAGGCGATTTGGAGGAAAACTTTATTACATAGGTTCCTTCTTGGAAACAAAAAATGATGGGATGGATTCATGATGGGCACACATTTGACATTAGAGCTCTAATATGCTGCAAACTGTAGACATGCACAGGCGATGGTGAAATAACATGCACGATTAAAATAATTTTGAATTTATGCCTGAGAAGTTCATTTCCTTCCATTTTATCGCTGAAAGTCAGACTCCTCTTTTTAAATTCATCAACTGTTTTTTTTCCGCGCTTCTTTAGCGACCATAATTAGCTGCTATTGTTCTTGGTGTTACTCTTCATTTGCGTCTTTTATTCTGTCCTTGCTTTCATTTACCACCCGCTTATGCTTCAACCCAGGCCGCTCTGATGAGGGATTGTGCATTCCACATGGGTAAATCAAGCCTGGAGGAATGACAGATTGTGGTAACATCTACATGTGAAAAAGGGATGAGAGGGCCACCAGGGCAAGCCGCGTAGCAGTCGAAAGAGGAAAGGTTTCTATGAGACGCAGGGTTTAATTGCAGGAGCTTGCTGGTCTTCGGGGTGCTTGGGGGGACCTACCCCTTTGGTAGTAAAAATTTAATGGCAGATTTTCTGTGTGCCTTTCGCATAGTAAACCAGGATATTCTCTCTGGAACATGTAAGCAGATCCCCTGTCTGTGACTGTTAAGCCTCTCTGGTGGGTGGGTCTCAGTACTTGACGCAGCGTGTGGGCAACACAGTATTTCAGCTGACAGTTCTCAGAGGGGTTCATCGCTCATAGTTGTGTGTTTTTCTTTAGTAAGCGATCTACCTGTGATGGACCTCAATACATTTCTAACCTCGTTAGCCAGTGAATTGTCACAAAAATGATACGGTTTCATGTTTCTCCTCTCATTATGGACATTGGTTCAAGTCCCTTTTAAGATTTTGTAAACTTCTGCACTATCACTGCCACTCAGTAGTGATTCAACCAAATGGGGGAGGACTGCTAAACTATCCTTCATTTGGTGCTGTGACTCACAGCAGGGGTGTTTTGTATCAGCTCATATGTAATCTGTCTGGATGTTCGTTCATGTATCAGAGGCTAATCATTAAATGACCTGCAGTCAGAAAATAATGGCAGGTGCTGCCACATGCCCTGACAGAAAATATTTAAGTGTACAGATATGCTAACAAAAGCTTTCAGCAGGCTGCAGTGCTCTGATAAAAACACTTTAAACCTTTTGTTATTCTGACATCTCCCCTGTCTTTTTTGTGCTGCCGTGAGAAAAGATGGCCCCCATTTCCATTTAAATTCACAGAAAATGAGATTCCAGTGACAAATCACTGTAGACTGTACTTAATGACCATTATATTCCCTTTGTGTTCCCTAAAATCCCTCTTCGTCTCGGTTTAAACAATACATTATACAAATAAATTCAGACACTGTGCATCTTTCAAATCTTAGTGACACATTCAAGTTTTTTCTGTGATCTAAATGCAACCTCATACTATAAATGAATTCCAAGTAAGGAAACATAACAAAAAATTAACCAACAAACAGGAGATTAACACATAAATGGTTGCATTTCTTGTTAGTTTTTTTACTACGAAAGACCTAATCAGGTTATTTAGACTCTTGTTGCTCATAACACAAACCATACAGGTCTCCTGTGATGCAGACCAGAGCCAGAAGAATGGCTTTATGACAAGCGCTTTCCCCCCCGTATTTAAAAGAGAAAAACTCCCCAATTTTGATTTAATAGCCCCTGGCATTGGTCGAAAAATTTTGGGAATTTGCTTAAAATCAAGTGATTGAGCTTAATACTGAAGTAATCCGAAAAAGCACAAGGCAACATCATTTTTTATTTAGCATTTTTAAAAGGTTGGGTAGGGTTTTTGTTTACCACTATGTTGCATCCAAATCTTAGTTTCATATCTAAATATAACACACAGACAAGTTGCCCATACCATCTTGCCCCATTCATGCTCTTCAGCCCTTCAGCTTCTAATGTATCCGTTCTCAGATGGTAATTCATCAGACTGCAGAACGTTTCCTACATCACTTCAGAGAACATTTGAAAAAGCACAGACTTATGGAGTGGCAGAGTCTCCGGACCTTTTACATTTATGACTTTTCTTTTCAAGGGGAAGTTTTAACTTTCATCTCTGGATGCAGTAAGATGTTGTTTTAACTGATAATGATCTCCAGAAGTGTTGCTCTTCCACTAAGGAATTTCGCCTCTTAAGGTCTTTGCAGAATTATGAGTCAAAGATCATTGCCTTTTAGTATTTGTTTTATGCCACAAAAAGGATTTTTAGGGTATGATCTTTGAATGTTTTTTTTGTTTGTTTAAGAGACTTTGAACCCCAAACATTCCCCAAGGGTTTGATGAAACGCTTGTAAAATGAACTATTGACCCACACAGTCCTTCTCAGACAGAAACTGCGACTGAATAACCTCTTGGGATTTTCTTTTCATGTCTAATCATTTTACTGTCCTGTTGCTGAATCCAAAAGTAAACACAACAAAACTCTATTTAACTATTGCATAAATGCTCTTGTATTTTACTTTCCTTTTCTAATAAAAAGCTTGTAACAAAACAAAAGTGGATAATAGTTACCATTTGATTTACCCCATTTGATTTCTGAAAGCTTACATTGTTACATTCTTACCTTTTTCATGTTGATGCTTACAGGGTATTTATTAAGGATCTTATAAAAAATAAATGGTATTTGTTTGATTAGTTCTTTGGTTTCATGTCACTCGCATCAATACTGTGCCCTTTCACATTCACCAGATTTAACTTCAGGAAGTGAGCTTAAAAGCACCCACAACTGTCAAAATTAGAAAACATGTGGAAGTAAAAACGGTGACTTGTGCTTTGCTTTACTGAGGAGTGCATAAAAAGTGCATAGTAGCATTAATAAATGACAAAATGGTCACTATCAGTTCTTGTGACCTTAGTCTTCATTAGCCAGCACTAGGTCTAAGACAGAGATTTCTAAAAGGGAATTATGTTACATTGCCATCTTAAGTGGGGCTAAATGAAAATGGTTTAGAGGCTGGATACTTTAAAGGCCGCTCTGAGTCACACAGCTGCTGCTGCTTCTTAAACAGGCAGCAAGTACGACTGACTTGATGATAACTGCTGGTGCTAATGTGTGTGTGACCATGTTAATTTGCGGTTGAATTCTTTTGGGGATTTCTAAGCTCTCCTCTGATAGATCTGTGAATCTGTCTGCCCGCTCGGAATGCAACATTCAATACCGGGCATGCCACTGAGAGGCTGTCAGATAGCCAAACCATCACTCTCTCCTTAATAATTGTAAGACCGTGTGTGAGAAAAGTTTAGATATCTACGTAATGAAGGTCATGACTCTTATTCATCAAGTTGGACCCTTGAGCTGATATTTTGGAGATCGATTTTGCTTTGGCTCATAGCCTTAAATGAAAGTATTTTCTCTTTTCTTTTTACGTATCAGAGCAGAACTGGTAAAGGATGACATCATACATGGCCTGGGTCAAACAAAGGTTTTCACTCTGTGAGTCGGAGCGTTGACAGATCCTGTGGTTATAACATGCAGGAGAAAAGCAATTCTACCGCCTCCTCCTGAATTCATGGCTTGGCTTTGACAGCTGTAATTGTTTTTTCGAAGCAGCTGCTGATTGACAATATTCCCCCGGTGTGGATTTGCATGTGCGCTTGTAGCTGCAGCAGTGGCGGGCCCAGCAGGAGGAGGTGGCACGGCTGGAGGCAGCGATAGCAGCAAGGCAACAGGAGGAAGGAGAGGCCAGGATAAAGAGGGAGCAGGAGAAGGAGGCTGCCATCAGGTCACAGCAAAAAGAGAAAGTAAGTGCTGCATCTGTGCTCCCATCCAGTCACTGTGTTGGTCACCTCCTGCAGGACTGTGGTGCAATGACGCAGTGTAGGGAAAGGGAGATGAAAACTAGGAGGAAAAGACATTTGTCTGTTTCTGCAGTTCCGGAAGAAGTAGTCACACACACCCCCTTTATGAAACTGTGTAATCAAACCAAGAGATGTTCATACATTATGGGACAAGAAAAGTCCACAAAGGGAATATCGCAACAGATACTCTCCTGTCATGACAGATGGTATGTGATGAATTAAGTCACTTATTCTGAAAATTTATGTTTTTCTGTTAAGATGAAAAATAGCGTCCACAGTACCAAAATGAAAACTGTCAGCTCACAAATAGCGGTGATTTACTCCCAAAAGCACTGGATGTTATCGAACTGAAAGCACATGCTGTTACAGTGACTTGGGATTTTGATTATTAATTTTTGTTATTGAACACACAGGTGTGATAACAGCAGAGAATCTGTGTGTCTTTGACTGTTTAATTAACTGACTCCTAAGGGGTCTGCAAAGAGTGTACGGGCAACCTGAGACAACCCTCTGATTAATGCGAGCTTTTAAGCCTCATTGAGTTCCAAATAATTTAGAACAATCGTTTGGGAGACATTGAAATATCATCTCATTCTCTCTATTTACACATATCTGATTCCCGCTCTGTCTCAGTCAATAGGACATGATGATTCTAAGAGTTTTGTGAGTCAACGTATTGGGTGTGTGGCAGCTCTTCTCGTTAACTTTTTCATTATAATTCATTGCCATTTTTCCCCAGGTGAGAGTGTTTTATTTAAAGCAGCAGAGGAGGAGGGAGATACTGGAGCAAAGGGATCAAGAGAGACTTGCTAATCTGAGGAGTGTGATGGAAGAACAGGCGAAGCGAGATAGGCAGAGGTTAGTGTTCAACCGTGCATGTGAGATTCTTTTGCTGCCAAGTGCATCGGTGTAGTTAAGGACAATCAAAACCCAACAGAATTGTGTCAAATAAAATCCAAAATGTAAATACAACACTCTGTCTATATTTTAAGATTCTATGTATCATTAGGTCTTAGAATGATGTAAGTATGACACTAAATGAAGATGAATATGTGACAAATTCCATTATATCATCAAGGGTTACTGTTAATAGAGTTAGGAGTTCTAAGGTCATTTTAAAGTTATTTGGAGTTCAGTGTTCCACAGTATGGAAGATCATGCAAAACAAGATACACATCCCGTTCCATTATGACCCGGCAATGATTGCCAGAGTGCTACAATAACAAGAATAGTTTTGCTTCCTTGCTCTTGGCAAAAGCCCCACTGTTCGCTATTCTCTAGGTAGTGCTTGTAAAGCTTTGAGGTTTACAGGGGGAGGGTATTTTTTCCCACAGTATAAATATTTCTCCACATTCATTTAATACAAATGTACTTGTGTTTCTGCTTATTTAAGCCGGGGTCACTTTGGTTTATTTTTCCTAATACCATAGTAGGCCAAATACTGCCCAAACTGAATGTCCCTGCCATCAGGTTTTATTGTTATAATCCACTGACGGGCCTTATTCTCTCCCGTTCCTCTCTCCTTTTCATTGATATATTGTGAAATGCTTTTACCTGGGGGTGCCTTAGAATACCTCTGATATTTGTCCTTTTTTGCTCCCTTGCATTATGGGATCCTCAGTTACTTGAGGCAAAAATCTTGCTCTTTATGTAGCAGATCCTACATCCTACTTTGAATGTCTTCATTTGCCTGCTCAGTGGACCAAAATAAGTGGTATGCTCACAACTGCATAGGTATCTTTTTACTTCTGTATTCTGCTTTTTGATAAACCTTAATTCATGGACTGAGAGCCCATCTTTTTTATGAAAAAGAACCCAAACATTTTGCTTATTTACAAGTGAACGATAAGAGCAAGTTCATTTGAGGAAAAGTTGTGTAATGAACATAAAGATCAACACAGACTGGCCTCTGTAACACAGTGTTGAACCCATGCAGTGCCATCAATAGGACATTTCTTCATGACGCACAGAGAAATACAGGAGGTCATTCCTGCCAGCGGGCAATAACACTGCATAATGAGAACTTGTAATGACAGTTAAAAACATTACTTCAGAGATATATTTCAAATTTTCTCAATTTGTCTGAATAAGTCTCTCGTGTGTCATCGGTATGAATGCTTCAATGAAAGAAAACAGCAAAAGGAAATATAACCGCTGCCGCTGTATAACTTTTGGGTTGCAACTGGATGTATTGGTTATCAGTTTGATTTAATTACTATTAATTTTATTTTTTGTTACTTTACGAATGGATAAGCACATTTCTTGCTATTTCCGTTATTTTTCTGTGAAAAAGAATAAGAGAGGGTATGAGAGAGATAAAACCAGACGGTTTAGAGGAGCTGCTTTTTGGCAGCTCCTCTAAACCCTGTGCCAGCCTAGGGCTTACTGTGTGAGGAGTGATAGGTAATGTCGCCTGTGGCGGTGGCAAAGGAAGAGAAGCACTGTGTGGGTTTGATCTCCACAAGCTCTGTGTACTCCCTTTAGGGTCCAGTTTCGGGCAGAAATGTTGCAACAGCGACAGGAAGAGAGGGAGACACGAGAGCTGGAGCGTCAGCGAGGAGAACAAGAAAAGCAGAATCGTCTGGAGGCTCTTAGAAAACAGGTGAATCATTAGAGGAAATTAATTTTTGAGCTGGCTGTTCTGCTTGTTGAAATAACATGAAACTGACTCATCCATGCCTGGGTAGAGGTGTCAGTGCCACCTTATGGCGGAGTGTATTAGGACAATTGTATGTCACTAACGCTTTTGTTTGAATCGTCTCAGGTTGAGGTGGTGGTGGATGCAGACCCGGAAAGACTGATGGCAGACACTGAGTCTTGGAGGAATCGAAACATGAATGCGAATCATTTTGAACCCCACAGGCCACTCTATAGTATCAATACATACACAGACACACAGGTGAGCCATGATTACAGCTATCCTGGACTAACCTTCACTTCATGTTTGTAAGGTTACAAAGTATTCTGCTGATCATTGACCCAATCGCCTTATCTCCACTCTGTATACTTAGTGCTTACAACATCACTGCCCCTGGTTCCTCTTTCCTTTATTTCATGCAGCTGTTAAGTTTTGTTTAATATTTGGTGTGACTGACCGCTGAAGTGGGGGAAAATGTCCTCATTTTAACACTAAGCTAAGATTTCAAGGTCAGCTTTGTTAATGAATAAACTGCAGTCTGTTTAGGTTTTTGTGAGTGTACCAGCACTCAGAAATGGACAATAATCACACAGTGGAGCTTCTCCTATGCCAGCGCATAAAGAATAAGTCATTAACCTCACTTTGTGTTAAACAAACACGGCAGGGGGAAACAGCTGGAAATGTGTAATGTATTTACTGTCCCTTTCCCAGATTGTTTCTGATCCGAGAGTCCGGGTTGAGCAGGCTCTGCGAGAGGCTGGTCTACACCAAAGCCAGTATGCCAAGGAGCTCATGTCTGCTATCAAGCCAATCAAAGCACCTCGACGAGACACAAAATCCATACTTAAATTTTGACCTAGGTTTTGTTTGGGTCATTTTATACAGTCAAAGCAACCCTTGTTCTGTTCAGGTCACTGTATAAAAAAAAAAGATTTTTTTTTTTAAAAAAAAACTCAACCTAAGTGACACATTTAATTTCTATGAGGTCTTTATTAGGGATTTTACACTTCATTAGCAGTACAGAATATGAAAAGTATCATCAATATTTGATTTTAACATGAAATCTTAAAACAGTTACTGTTCCAACAATTTATTGTTTTTTACATAAAGAAGTTTGAGGTGACATTTTTAGACTTACAGAATACACCAAGTGTGATACATGTTACTGACTATGACATAATAAAAACTGAATAAGGCTGTACACCATCTTCTTCGATCATGAGACAAATTACAAAACAGCAATTATTACAAAACATCTTTTAACTTTGAAATAATTTATTGTGGAGTCTTCACTATCAGCAGACAATCTCCAGCTGTTTTTTCTTCTTATTCCAGTCATTCAAATGCGAAAGGGATCCTAAAAGCATCCCCTCACCGCATAGCTTTCATATGTAGTTGTAGCGACAATGAGTATTGCTTATAAAGGCTGTGTTGGCTTTGACTTTAAAATCAGCTTACAGAAAACATTTATATTCAATAATTTTATCACATAAATACAAGAGCTTTGCTATGAAAAGATAAAATACACACTTAAATATATATCTGTAAAATTATCATTTTTAGCTTTATCCCTTAAATCAGAACAATCTTAACTGACTTAAATGAATGTCTAATGCAAATATTAACACGGTAACTACATTTTATGTATATACATATCCACATATTATTCAGAGCTTTGTACAGTCTTTTAAAGGTGAAGTGGTCTCAGGCAAGAATTCCCAAACGTTTCTTGATAAAGTGAGACACCAGGATTTGAGGTCTCTGCTGGTACTCCACCAGAACGTCATGAGAGGAGGTGATCTGGTCCCCGTCGAAGCGGTTCAACAATGCGACGCAAACCACAGCCGCTGTGAAGAAAAGGATTAGGCTTTACTAATTACGGTAATAGATAGATATTAATTTAAAGTTTTATGTTAGCTGGAACTGTAAAGCTTCAAGTGTTCTATATTTTTCTTTCAAACATTATACCTTTGACGCCACAGACACGGCACATGGCAGCAAAAACAGTGGACTCCATTTCAATGTTCCTCACTCCGGCCTCAAAAGCTTTTCTCAGATATTCCAGTTTTTCCTCATGAGAGAAGGAACAGAGAGCTCCATCCAGTCGGCCCTGACCTACAGAGACAAAGTTGTTTTCAGTCCATGGCCATTTCCATAAATGTTATTAAGTATGTGTGTGTGCTTATAAGGGCTTTTACTTTATCCCTGCAAGTGACTCAGTCAAGTATACCTTCATAAAAGTCATGGGTGCACAAGGTGTTTCCAATAACGGTTGGGAGGTTTTCAAGTTCAGTGGAACACTGAAGAAGCTCGCTGGATACTCCTTTATCTAGCTCGGTGCTTCTGGTTATTACTTTACCCAGAACCACTTGTTCAAACTGGGGACGAAAAGAGTAGTCCACTGCTTTCTCAGTGATCACCACAGTTCCTGGTGCCAAACCTGGAGATGATGCCAAGCACAAGTTTTGTTATCATTTAGTTAAATACATGAGCTACGTGACAAAAACTTCTCGTCACCCTGAAGCCAAAAAAATGTATTCTTACCAACTCCACCTGACGTTCCCAGTCGAAACAGGATAACATCACGGCACTGAGCATGATGCAGAAGTTTAATGAGCTCGTGCAACATAATGGAAATTGAGGGGACTCCCATGCCATGCTGTAATATATACACATGGGTTGAAATAGTTATAAAATCTGCCACATTCTTAGTCATGAAACCAGTATTTAAGGTTTCTATGATGATAGTTTGTGAATCTTTCAATTTTGGAGTACTTACACTTATAGAGAGCACCGGTCCCACTTTGTACATGCAGTAACGATCAGTTCCGTCACAGATATCTTTGATTTCTTCTGGATTTCCTGGCAGTTTAAGCTCATGGTGGATGAACTGGGCAAAAGCCTTCATACGATTTGCGCTTCCACCAACACACACAAACTAAGAAAAACAAAAGGAAGAGGGACAGATGACTTTTTTTTTTCAACCTATAAGGAAAGAAAAAAAAATTCTGTCAGCTGGATTTTCAACACAAACCTTAATATCTCCAAACATTTCAGGGAGGTTGTGTGTCCTGGTGCTCAAGCTGAAATGGTATAGAATGTCCTCTTCCATGGTGCCCAAATAGGGATTTTTCACTTGGACCTGTTGCCTAAGGGTAATTGATAGTCATATCAGTTCAATGCGGGAAACAAAACCAAAGTATGGGCAAGAATGAAGTGAAGCAAAATCCCTGCATAAATATGGTAAATGTTTGGGAGAATTAAGCCTTCCAATATAAAAAGAAAGTCTAAACTGAGCTTGAGCAGTTCCTAAATACTTACTTGATGTACTCATTGTGTTCATTTCCCATACAGTTCAGAAGAATCGGTGCCATGACTGCAGATGCTTTAAAATAAAGTTAAGAATGTCCTCAAAAGTCACTGTAAAACCTTCAGGCTCTTGTTGCAGCTCTTTTACAACTAAGAATCAGTTCCAACTGTGGAGCTGATATAGTGATGCCCTCTGACCTTGGCAGTGATTGGTTCCAGAAAGAGGAGTAGCAGTGGTCCTTGCACTCAAATCTACCGGTGCCAAACAGAGCAAGACCATATTTAAAGAAAAAAAAACACATTAACTTTTGTGTTGTTTTTCCCCTCGTTGCATGTATCTTTGTGCAGTGATACGCTTTCATTACAGTGTTGGAAGTCTTAGTTTCTTATGGTCAACATTGCGCTGAGGAAATAAAGATTCCATTCAACTAATATTGTGGGTTTAATGGTGTAATACCCAACACAATTAGAAAAAAAACAATACGTGGAAAAAAGTAAAGTTTAGCTGCCACTGTTATGATACGTTACATAACCATGAGTAGGTGTGTGAAAAGTCTCAACTCCAGCCAATCTGAGCCCAGCGAATACTTGACGAGTTATGACACAACTCACCCACAGGACATGGAGAACCTGACCTTGGAATGCATTGCCAACATAACAGACGTGCAGAAAAAGATAGAAAACGCAATGTTTATCATTTAGGTTTTATTGGAATCTTCATTACAGTCACAATTCAATGGCTACATTACAGTTAAGTGAATCACTTACAAGCTTAAGAAAACAGTGGAAACCAAATAATTTATAGTGTAGCTCAGTGAAAAAGTGTAGAAATAAATGTTAGAGGAAAACATGGCACTATTCCTCTTGGAGCTTATCTATCCTTTTGCACACCTGGCAGTCTCCCAATCTGTTGACATGAAAATGGAGAAGAGTAAGACTTATTTGAGCAATCACCTCACATAATGCACTAATGGCTCTGCATTATAATGTCAGGAGCATCATAAATCCTTGCTCGCTGAAACCTTTAAAGTATTACAGCACAGATTTTGTCACCATCATTCCATAATGGCTATTCATATAGCAGTCACATAAAATCAAATACACTGCATATTTTATAGTACTTTTTTAAATGCATTCTGAAAGCATGAGATTTGAATGTTTTACAGAACTACTTACTTAGTGACATGTCACTGTACTGGTCTGTCATCTTCTGCATACCCAAAGCTCAGCAGTTTGGACATGTCAACAGGTGCTGGTTTCTTGTCAAATATTCTGCAAAGGAATAAACAGATGTTCAAGAATGGTGGAAGCATTTATTTGCCATCGAGTCAAACTCAAATCAGTACGTGAGTTTGTCTTAGGTTACAATATTATGCATATTTTTGTACCGCTTCAAAAGGACCTATGACATTGGCCAGAGGGACTAGAATGGATTAAACATGACCCCTTACCCTCACTAAAATCCTAAAACTTTGGATACTTAGAGGTATTTTAAAAAAAACATTAATTGTTAACAAAAACAAAAACGCTTGTTAATGAACTTTGCATTTAACCTGAATTAACCACTTTATTTCTATTACAGAAAAAGAGGATTTCTTTGAAGTTTTTAAACAAGTCAATGACATTTCCCTCAAAAATACAGTACAGAGAACATTCAGTACAGAGCAGCTGGTGAAACTAAGTAAACAGGGAAACATCCAGTACTTTCTGGTCTCAAACTGTACTTTGTGCTGTACTGCATTTAATGAGCTTCCAGTTTCTGCTTTGTCATCACAACAGTGAGCCATATAGATAAGAACATATACAGAACATATGTATATTTCTACAAAGTACATATTGATCAGTTGTGCATTTGACTGTACTACAAAAAGCACATTAATGCAAAGGACAACTGGAAAACAAATTGAAAGATAATTCCCCAAAATTATCCAGCAACCTTGCATCCTTCCTAATATAATGCATATGGTCAAACATCCATTGAAATGGGTTTAGATTACTCCATTCTTTTTTATTTATATAAGTAGTAAGTTGTTCTGAGTATGAATACATTCAGTTTGAATGCATTTTATTAATGATATTAAACTTCTTAATATATACGATCATGCATGTATGGTGATTGGAAGGGCTGATACGTTTATGGAACTAAAAACTAGTTCACTGCTGAGGATAGATCTGGCAAACCGAGTGTATGCAAGGATATGAATACTTTTCACTTAAGAAATTAATATGCTTCTCTAACCATTATACTCAAATTCATGTGGTTCGGGTTGGTCTATTACAAAGACGTTTGGTATGCCACTTGCATTAAATATGCTACAGAACAACAGCACCATCCTGTGGTCACAAGAACTTACATCCTCTTGAATTTGCTGCTCACATGTGGATTGGATGTTTGCAAATCCACCATCTGGCTGTTATGATCAATTTTCTGGAGGGAAAACAAAAATAGTAATGGTATATTATTAGTTATTCGGCACTTTTTCCATAATTCTCTCAGCAAAGTCCACTCATGTTGAGTCTAACTCACTAAGGCAGAAAGTGGGTGTGCCGCTAGCATCACTAATGATCCTTCAATTCAGACTTAAAAACATGGGCTCTGAACAAGATAAACAAACAAAGGCTAGAACTGTTCTAAAACGGACAGATTATTTTCCAAACAACGTTGTATACCTTCTCTCTTCCACTGCTGTTGCCATTATCCCTCTCCCAGGTTGACATATTGTCATTCCCAAAGGGCTGCTTCAGTGGCTGAAAATCTTCAGGGCTTTTCTTCTCCTCCTCACTGTTAATTAGACTGATTAAACAGTGTTTGTTAGTACAAATATGGCCACTCAATGGTAGCTGAATAGATTATGAAAAAAAAAAAAATCAGACACATGCTTATTTGATGCCAGAGCATTTAAAAGCAAAACAAAGAGGACCATTGTTAAGGACATGCAAGGCTAAGACACATGCTTCCAGTACCCCATTTTGTTGGCGTCTCCTGATTCAGCACTGAACCACTCTGGAGGCTTGTATGCATTTGGGGAGGAAGAATACATTTCATCATGCCATAACAGCCCTGTTGTTGGGAACAAAAATAAAAGTTACTCCTGACAGCAGGTAGACACCCAGCCAAAGGAAAACATGAGGGTACGTGTCAACAGGAGGGTTCTTACCCTTATGTCCTCCTCCTTTTGCAAGCTTGACGTAGTCAGAATCACTCTCCAGGATTGCAGCCCTCCGTCCTCGAACCTTCTCCTCGGGAAGTTTGCAGATGGTTGGGGACAGCCCAGGAATCTGTGAAATGTGGCCATCCAATGTAAGGTATCCCGTTTTGACACCTGGAGTGTTGGAATACACACACACGAAGTAAGTAAAGAAAATGTACGATAAACGGTTGTTGCGTCGAATGAAAGACAGTGTTACCACCGCTTCGAGTCCAGTCTGTCCCTGCTGACTGCAAGTCACGCTGCCCAAGTAATATAAATGGTTTTACTTGCCAGATTTCGTTGCTTGGAGAAGATCGTCACTCGTGAGAACTAAGGAATTTCTATGAGAAACAAAGCCGTAAGTCAACTGTCGTGATGACATTAAAAAAGCGCGAACTGATCCTCAACAATTGGCTCTTAATGTGTCCCAAACTACGGTTAAACATACAAAAAACAACTCAAACTTAACAAAAGCTAGAGCTTTACTTACTCGGAATTCATCTTGAAAGCAGGGAAGACGCCGCGGTCGCTCTGTTTGGAAGTTGTGACCTTGTCTCCATGGAGACCGTTTTCTCCGGAGCGGGGCGGCTGGTGTGCGATAGAAGCTTCCGACATGTGTGCTCCGGTGTCTTTAAAGCTTACAGCACAGCTCAGCGCTCAACATCTGATAACGGGTCATGTTTGTAGAACAGCAAGCCGAGTTTATCTTGCTAACATCGAAGAAATGCAAGTGTGTCTGGCATCCAAAAAACAGCGCCTAATAACGAAGTGGCCATTCGTGTTGTGTCCGTTGAAGTGTTTTTGGATTGCCTTAATTACACTAATCTGTCCCATTGGCTGCACCTGTGTGGGTACACAACACCTCTACTGAGAAAAAGAGGAAATGAAATAGATTTGCTTTGCATGAGGTTTCCTTTTAATATTGTTAAAGTTACATAGTTATACTTAAAGCTCCCACTGAATTTTAAGATATGTATTTTCATATACCCTCTGTTTCATTGATGGAATAAATAAAAAACAAAAAAACAAGGAAGGTGCTTCTAAACTCCCCAAATAACATATAGTTTAACCTAAAGGAAGACCAGGAAGGGAATCGCATTTTTCAACATTAACTGACAGAAGTCATGGTTTTGGCCATTTCCATACTACGTTCGAACAAAATATAGGAACCTAACTTCAATGTTCAGCACAATATTTAGCTTTATAGCAAAGCCATTTCAAAGTTTATAGATTTTGATGACAAATGCACTTTTGGTGCATTGGAAGCCGTTGTTTTAACACGTCTGTAGTTTTGGGGGTCTCAGGTATGTGCAATGACCCTCTCCCACTGAGAGCTCAGAACATGCGCAGAGCAAGAAAAATAGCTGAGCTCTGGCATGTAAAGTTAGTCAGTGATAGTACATTAGGGACAGGAAGCTTATGCTTTTCTTTCAGTATAAAACATGACAATCAGAATGTGATGGGAATCTACAATATGTATATAATCAATGTATTCTATTACATATGAACAGGTGTATCTTGGATTTCCAGTCAGAGCGCTTTGTGCTTAAAGAAATAAACAAATGCTTTGCTTGGAGCCTACTGTAGTATCTGAAGCTCACAGTTAAGCCCAGACTTTTCTGTTTGTGTAGCATAAACACTTGAGAAACACTTTACCAAAGTAGAGTTTAGGGAGGATGTTTATGGTATAGATATGTTTATGGTATAGCTGCACGGAAACGGCCTGACAGAAGACAAAGAGTAAATGTCTATGCTATGGATTAGCTACATCCTGACTACACGCCTGGATGGATATAGGCTGGTATAAATCCAAGAGAACAGATATGGGATAGTATCAGGGAGTTAGGCAGAGTTTTCTCTGACATCGGGTGATGAGACTTTTCCAGACTTGATGCATCAATCTGTACTTCTGACTCGGACCTGGCTGACAATAAAATCTTCTTTGTTCGACCAAGTCTGCCTCAGCAGAGTTTTTTTCCGAGGCACCTTCACTTGAGCTATTTGAAGACGATCATCCCATAATTCACCACACTACAATAGAGTGTAAGGGATATGTTCTTTTATCTAAATGACCGTCTTCTTATCTGCACAAACTCAAACTACAGAACTCATTTGCAAAAAAAATAAAAAACTTTGAATATTTTCAGCAGCATCTATGTTTTTTATCAAGCACCACTCGTGACTAGTTTAACATTGTAGTTCTTGCATTTTTTTAAACACCTTCTTCTGTTTTGTCGTCAGAACTTTTGGATCTGAAGCCCAAACTGACTTTGCTGTCTTGTGCATTTATAGTAATTTACAATCTTTTTTAAGCTAAACAACAAGTGCACAAACCATTTAAAATTGTGCTAGCTGGAGGAATGGCATCGTTGAAATAAACTCTGACACTATGTGCTCATACATATTTGCTAAATCATATTAGATACAAATCAGATGTACTTTGCTAGCTAAAGATTTTGTATTATGTCAACTATGTAAATAACATCAAACAAATGCTCAATTTGAAATACAATTTTTAATGAGGAGAGCCTCTTTTAGGGTTTATTCCATCTGTTACACATGATTTGAAAGTATCATTTGTGGTTGTCTGTGAGTAGCCAGAAAGTACATGTAAAACTATTCACCTTTTTACTTCCATCCTCATGTTTTTCACACTCAAGGATTTACACATCTGCTAAACGTTTCTGGTCTTTCTATAAAAGTACTCTGCCTGACCACACCATGAACAGATAAAGCTGAAACTGCATTTATTTTGAAAGGGGTCACCGGAAACTGCTGTGGGTTTGACGTCACTTCACTGAGTACAGTAGTTAGTCGCTGCAAGGTAACTTCCTTCCACCAATCCTGGCTTTTTTTTTTGTGCCTCCGACACTCCGCCGCTGGTGTCCGACTCCTGAGCCGAGACTTGGCTGCTGTGTGAAGGGGGACGGGGCTCCGGGATGTCTCTTCAGGTTTCCCCTCCCTTCGGCGCGAGCATCGTTTGAGTTCCTCACTTCTTTTCTTTTTTCTTTTTTTTTATCGCCAGCCGAGCGACCGACGGATGATCATGTTGGCGTCACGAAGGCTCGGATTTTCAGACTTTGGAAAACAAACCGGGCACAGTCGGTGAATCCTCGGGAGATGGCAGAATAGTCCGAGCCGAGCATGCTGCCGAGCCCCTCACTCCAAGGACTTTTAAAAAAACAGGTAAGTTGGACCTCCGAGCATTTTAAAACGCACTTTATTTAACCCGGTCGGATGGAGCGGGAGCGACGTGGAAAAGTTTGTCTGTTTTGCCTCTGAGCTGCGTGACCAACCCTCCCAAGCAGCTCCAGCTTTCTCCGGGCTTGGTTTCGGAAAATCTCGACCGGCGTGGTGTTTTTGGAGCTAAATAGTCTTGATTCGAGGGCTTTATGTTCCGTTTAAATGTGATGTGAAACCATAGCTGCATTTCACGGACGGAACCGTCCGGTCCTTTTCTTTGGAGTGGCCGTAGCGGGCAGATGTTATACGCAGATAAGTAATGATGAACAGCAGGCCAAAATGAATAAGAATCAGTGTCTGCCCACAGCCGAGGCCAGTCCGGCTCCTCCTTTTATGTTTCGGCTAAATCCCATCAGGCCGGCGACCTGACAAGTAGCCGCGACTCTGTGAGGAGTTTTTGTCATGCAAACTGTCCCCAGAAAGGCTCGTTCAGGTTTGACCGTGTGTCTCATCATCGCCCGCTGAGCGGCATTAACATGACAATCCTCAGTCCCACATGGGGGTGGAGAACCCAAACCCCAGGTACAGTCAGCCGGGGCTCCAATCTTCAACCAGTTAACGGTGGAGAATTCCCCTGAACGCCACACATGAAGCTGGGAAAATCAAAAGGACAAAGCAGTGGTTGACAGGCCTTTTCCAGCTGTGGAATAATCATCATGGAAACATGGAAGTGGGCTCTGACAAGGTCTGAGGAGCAGTCCTGTTGAAGGCTGATGAGAGGGCGTAAAACTTCATTTACAGAGGTGTGAGCCCCGGGAGAGAACAACCAGCCATAATTGTGCTGATTGCGTTGCACTTGTGTGAATGGGAATGTCTCACACTTAAGTCTTCCTCCTCAGAATCAACTTCCCCCCGACCTCAGAATTCCATATCCGCCAACCAGGCAGCTTTTTTCCCCTCCACTAACGGTTCACGACGTATTTTTCCCGGCGTGATTGAAAGCTGCACCATATCAATTAGTTGCTCGCCCACATTTGAATTTTACACGCTTAACATTCTTGAAGGTGTGTGTGTTGGGCGGTTTGGTGCCATATGAGCTTGGATGAGGTTGTCTGTCTCTGATCTGTCAGAGCACCGGTGGACTCCATCAGGTATCTGTAGGGTGGCAGCAGTCATCTGTAGGGTATTACACCTCTACTGCAGCACTCTGTGGAGTAGAAAGGGGAAAAGAAGAGGTGGTGGCAGAGGTGGAGGGATCACAGCTCTGGTAAGTGGCACTTTGGTGGCTGTGTGTCTGGAATCCGGTGAATGTGGCCAGTGGCCGAGCGCCGGCCCTTCTGTGAATGTTCTCGGGGAGTCTGGCAGATAGCGCTCAGATAAAGAGACGTCTGGCAGTCTGGGGCTGGTATGTGCGTCCCCCCCCCCCCCCCGGCGCTCTTTGGGTTCCCTTTTTTGTTCTACTCCCCCCCGCCTCCTGGCTGTGGCAGCTGCTGCTGTGGTTGGGCCCTCTCCCCGCCCCGGTCCCGACCCGTTCTGCTCTGGGGGACCTTCGGCCAGTTGGAGGTTGGAGGCGCGTCTCCTCCTGAGCTAACGCGGCGTTCGCCACAATGGAACCCGGGCCGGGGCTCTGAAGCGGGATTACTGGCTTAGCGAGGTAACTTCAGGTTCAAGCGTTGGATTTTCAACATCGTGACGCCGGTTCATTTTCTTAACGCAAGGGTTGTATCACCATGGCAACTCGTGCTGCAGATGAGATAAGAGATTGACACATGCAAAAGCAAAATGACTTATCCAAAGGGAATGCCTAAGTGCTCTTAACCAGACTGATTGGGCTCAACCAGGTTCCTGTTGACTTTTAAAGATTTGAAGTTGACATGAGTTTCTTGTATTTGACTTAAAATGATGACTGAAATCTGAAAGATCTTTTTCATACATTATGGGTGTGCAGGTTTGCTAAATTGCATTAAAAAGGCCTCGGTAAGTCCATACCCGTCTGCGTACATCTTATAACGTGTTTTAGAAATAACAGAAATCCCTCACCCACTAAAAGCCTTTGGGATTTAGAGTTTATAGAGCCAGATGACAGAAAATGAACTTACTTATATCATCTTCACCAGTTTTTTTTTTTTGTTTGGTTGTGTGTTGACAATCCGAAAGGTTGGCAGACATGCAAATTCTCGTACAGAAAAATTGGACATGAATTTGATATTTAAAATATGAGCGTGTTACACATGCAGGCTAAGGGGCAGTGTGGATGTTCTTTTCTGTTACTTTAGATGTCAGAAATGGCAAAGCTTGTAGATTTACTCCGTCAACGTGGGCAAGATGGGTGCTCACATTAAGGGTGCACAGGGCTGGATCTGCATGGGGCACCTATGTCCCCTAAACAAGTCAAGCAGGGCACACGCTCAACAGTATTCAAAGATCCAAACATCTCAGATCAATAACTCATAAATGAAGCGTGTCAACATTCAAAGAATGGCCAAAGAAAGGGAGGGAAGAAATGGAGGTCCAATCCCATTTTCATCCAAACAAGCTGTCCTTCGAGCTGGAAAATAACTTTGTGCAGCCAGCTGTGAGACAAGTGCAAAGGGAACCATCTACAAAGTGGAACCCTGAGATAGGAAACAGCCTCTGCTATTATTAATGTCAGATAAAGTGGGATATTCTA